TAGTTAGTGGGATGGGGAAAAATTCGATCCTACTTCCATGGGCACTACACCCATGGGGTTTGAACCATTGATTTCACACACTCATGTGTGTGTGTGTGTGTGTATTTATCTGTATATCAATGGTTAAAAACCCATGGGGCCAGTGCTGCAGTGCTCACATGGGTAGAATCGAATTTCCCGTGGACACTGGCGGATCTACATAGGGGCCAATAGGGGCACGGGCCCCTATATAATTTTTTGGTAGTATACTATATATGTTATATGTATAGATGTATTGTTTATATTGACATAAAAAAAATACATGTTATTAATTATTATGTAAAGTTATTTCAATATATATTAAAAAATATTTAGAATCAATTAACCTTCAATAGTATGTTGTTTTTTAAGTTGTAGAATTTATGCTTATGCTATACTTTTCTTGTTTATTTCCTTTTCCTCCCAAAATACATAAAATGCATATACTATACATGGATTGGATCAAATGTATCATATTCTTAAAACGAGAATGTGATACTTAATCATAATTATTAAATAGGGATCAAAGTCTCTGGTCAATATTTAATATTTTTATTTTTTTAATTGGTTAACTCTTAATTTGGCCGTTGACATCCTGCGTTGACCGTTGACCATCGGTGTTGACCGTTACCGTAGTTTGTGCCACCGTTATCCTTAAAGTTTGCGTCTGTCCCTGCCCGTGGATGTGTGCGGTTGTATAATATTCAATTTGCCTTTATTGGGTGATCAAATATATATATTTGACAATAATATGTACATTTATTTATGAAATTGTTACTTCGTGTTTGTTGTCATTTATTAAAGTTTGATTTAATCATGATCTTTAATTTAATTGATCTAATGTCAAAGAATTATTTTTATTCCTTTCATTATACTTCATCATTGTCATATATGATCACTATAATTAAGTAACTAATTATCCCATCAATTTGCAATTAATATTCCATAATGAAAAGTTGCGCACGTCGGCGGTTATCCAAATATCCTTTGAACACATGCTTTGACCATTTCAACTATGCGAATACCAGACTGATCAAGTCATCTCGTCTGGACCACGTAAATTAAAACAAATTTGG